AAAAGAGTAGGCAAAGGGGAAAAGGGAGAGAAGAAAATGTTGGCAGTGCAGCGATCGGCTTGCGTCTGTTGAACCGAGTGCTCCAGCCCCCCTGTACATCCTTTTATTTCGTCTTATTTCCGTGCCCTCCTTCATTCTTCCTTATTTCACCCTTCCTCATCTCTTTGGCTGTCGTTGGTCGCTTGTCTCGCAGATCGACAACCCTCAGACGGAGGAATGGAACCAACACTGGAGTAGGTTGTGAGAAGGGGCTGGATATACGGAGCGCACCGTCAGCAACAGCCTCCTTTCTCCTCCACCCCCCCCCCCCCTCCCCCTACCATCGCCCCTCTTCATCTTCTTCTTCCTTTTCTTACATCTCATGTATTTTTCCCTCCTTTTTTTCCTTAGTTTTTCACGAGTAATCAGCAAATCGGCGAGTCTGGCAGCTGCTTACGCCAGCCATGGCGAGTGGAGGGAGTGAGGTACAGAGTGGATAGGTAGGCTGATGATGAAGAAGGCTGGGGGTGTTGGAAAGACGTCGATATAACAACTCGATTACTTTAGGGAGAAGTGTCACTTAGCCCGAGGCGACTGCAAAGTGAATTTCGTTCTAGGCCTCTGGTCTTCGCGGAGAGAGAAAGAGCGAAGAAGATAGTGGAAGGTGTCCATTCTGATTTGAATGGCAGTATGACACTTGAGATACCCCTTGTTCGGCCATGTCATACTTGAGAAGAGAAATAGCTAAATATCTTTGAGATTTGATGCGATGAAATGCCCTAATGTATTCGAATAAAAATCAAAATCAACAATCTGTCCTACTGAAAATTACATATCCCTTTATTTTGCAGCTTCATTCATCTTCTTCAGATGAATCAGGGCCAAATAAATCAAGGACAGACGTTGGTGACAGTAATTATAGAACACCAAACGATAATCGCTGAGGACTGACATTCAGAAGCCAGAGGAGACTAGCAAAATTCAGAGAGAAATGGTGGCAGAGACTAAAGCACCACCAGTATAAAACCTGGGCTTTTGGCCACGTCCGTCGCTGCATGACAGATTATAACGAGTGACCCAATTAATGTATAACGCCGAGATGTATCGTTCAGTGCCAGTATAGACTCGAAAGTAACTTTTTGGATCAAAAATAGAATGAAATTTGAGTAATTGGTTATTAATCAACGACAAACCTTATCCCCCATTTTTTCCCCATTTCTCAATTATTCACGGTTAATCGATTATGTTTATTTATTTACTTTTTTTTTTCATGAAAAAGCAGCCCCAACGAAACTGTCAAGGCAATTTATCTCGAGATTATTCCGGAATTTTTCTCTACTTCCTCAATTAATCAATTTTTATTTCGTTACACTTGATATCCACATACTTTCAGTGTTTCTCCCATTGCATTCGTCACTGACTTGCATTTTTTCCCCTGTTATTCAGTGGAACGAAACTTTGGCGCCTTCCACTCGGATGAAAATCGACTGAATATATTCACATGTGTAACAAAAAGTTTTTCACAGGAGCTGCTTTTCCATCGGATGTTTTATTACAATCCGTGAAATTTTTCGGGTAAGAAACATGAATAATCGTCGGATAGATGCACTTCAAGTTGAGTATGTGATTGAAATGAATATTTTCGGCACTTGCATTATATTAATGCAATTCAACCCGTTGAGAATAAAGTGTTCTGAATATATCAAAAGTTAAACTATTTTGTATTTTTTAAAGAATCTCATATTTCCACATTTCCCATTGGATATTCCAGAAGCCGAGACCAAGAAAAAGATTAAAAATGAGTGAACAAGTTATACTAGATCCTTAATCGCCTGTCATAATCAGTACATACATTGCTCTTTCATATAATTGCCAACAATGTAAAAAGCCCCATGGGGTATTCCCATTTTGATCTGAAAATCTAATTGCCTCGATTCCCTGTCCTACGCAGTTGCAATTTATGTTTGTCTGGAAATTTCCTTGGGAAATGTGTAATCTTTGAATTTCTGTGTCCTTTATCTCTTGGATGAAACGAGATTTAATCGCCGGTCCACTTCCACTCTCCCCTTCCCATCCCCTTTCCTTTTCCACCTCCTCTTTTACCGTTCTGTGCGACAGATGTACGCTAATTTGAATCCTATCAGGGGGAGGAAATTTTCCCTAGCTCCCGGAGGGACAATGTTTAATGGAAAAACGATTGTTTCATTAAAACACAGATATTTTCTTTGATATTTTCGAGTTTCATATAGTTATGGTCACGTTTCATCGAGTTGGATAAAAATAGTAGAATAGTATGGTGGTGATTGTTTGTGAAAATCAATGGGAGCGTGTAGGAATAGTTTGTGGGGATTGTCGCATGCCTGGAATGGTAGCCGCGCTCGGGGGGATTCAAGAATTCCTTTTCTCCTATCCACACTTGTGTGCATCGTATTTAGGCAACGGAGAACTTGCACCAAGATTTCTCGCAATTGTACTGTTCCAAGCTCCTAGCAAGGGGTGGGCTCAAAATGGAATAGTGAAGAGGGTTGTGGTAGACGACGGGGGAGTTAAGAGGACATAACTCCACCATATTCGACAATTGAAAAAATCCTCCACCTCGCTAAACTATTCTCCTCAATTCCCTAATTCCTACTCTTCTCTCAATTTTTTTTTTATTCCCCTATCCACACTCCACTTGTGCTACACCACAATCCGCGTACTAGTCTTCAGATTATGGGACTTAACGCGCTACGCTAGCTCCATGAAGAGAGAAATAATAAAAAAAAATGGTAACACATTCGAATAACTTGCAAATCCTTATCTCCATATTTTGCCTCTTGACTCTATTGGAGTGAATTAATTCAGATATATGTCGAAAAGAATTATCGCCCTTGGGAAATTATAGAAAAGATATTGTCGCTCCACCTGTGTGTAAACCACGCAACTCTAGGGAATTCTCACCGGGGAAGTTGGAATTGAAAAAATTGTCTTCCGACTGAAGCACCAACGGCTGGTGATCATAATTGATAATTCGATATCAATTTTTTAAAAAATCAAAGAACAACCTAGGCAGTTCGTTGTCTTCTAGAACTGCAATTTTCCTTCACCAGAATCCAAGAAAAATGGAAATAAAATAATATTCACTCACCGATTGCTGGCACGACGGGTACCTCTGCAGCTCAGCATGTTGTCAGCTCCTTATCAGCTCCTGATGCTTCTCGATGTTCTTTCATTTGAAACCCTTGAAAAAAAAAAAACAATGAATTAAAAAAAAATTCAATAGCGATATGAAAGGGTAAACATCCCTTGGACACTTACCAACAGGTGGGAATCATGTAATTTCTGGTCACACTTCACAACACTTCACTACACTTCACTACACTCGCGAAAACCCGAAAATCACAATTAATACGCGTTCACCTCGTTACTGGTCTTTTCTACGCACGTTTAGTCACTTTATATTAGAATGAAAAATTAGTAAACACGACAAACGATTGAGGGTATCCAGTCTGTTTATCAACACGAGTTAACGAAGATAATCTCGAAAACACTGAGTCAAAACTTTTAGACAGATATTTAGATATTAGCCAAGGCCTTGAATACACCGTATAAATTTTTTTGAAATTTTTCCTTCGGCCCACACACTTTATTTAATTTTCAATTTATCAGAGAGTTTATAAATTTAATAAATTATACTGATTAATTGTTACTGTGTCCAGAATGGCATAGCAGTCGCCCTCTTACGTTGTCTGGAGGATATTGATTACTCACATAAAAATATTCTATGTTCAACAGCTGAACACGTTCAACACCGAAATAAAAATTTATCGGATTGAAATTCATTTTAAAACCTTGACGGTTACTCATTATTCAATGATTGTTCATTTGGTTGTAATTAATTTGTTAATTTTACCGTGAATTGAATGAAATAAATACGGAGCAAACAGGTCCGTGCACGTTTGTTGTTGAAATATTTATCGGATTGAAATTCATTTTAAAACCTTTACGGTTACTCATTATTCAATGATTGTTCGTTTGTTTGTAATTAATTTGCTAATGTTACCGTGAATTGAATGAAATAAATACGGAGCAAACAGGTCCGTGCACGTTTGTTGTTGAAATATTTATCGGATTGAAATTCATTTTAAAACCTTTACGGTTACTCATTATTCACTGATTGTTCGTTTGTTTGTAATGAATTTGTTAATGTTACCGTGAATTGAATGAAATAAATACGGAGCGAACAGGTCCGTGCACGTTTGTTGTTGTCCCTATGACTACTGCGCCGAGAAGTTGCGCGGTCGTGTCCCCGCAGGCTTTTGTCTTGGCCTTTTCTACTTTTCGGTATTTTCTCTTCTACCACTCGTTATTCATCCAAATAACCAGTGATTCCATTGAATAATCATTAATAACCATAATGGTTACTCGTTGATGATATTATTGTGAATTATTTAATTGTTTTTACCCTAATTTCACGCGAAAATTGGTAGAACGAACACGACAACACTCACCCGACGCCACGGGTCCCCCGCCATATTCGACAATGCGCAGAACGACTGCGCGCTCAACTACCATTGTCTCCAGATTTTTTGATAAATTAAATTTTGAATATTTCAACTTTGGAGCACACTAAATTAAATTACTAACGTGACATTGATTATTTTTTCGTCATGATCATTCACAAATTGTCGCCTCATTAAATTTTTTTAGCGATCGAAGAAGGGGAAAAATACTAGAACCCAAATTATCAGGCGGGAGATTTCGTTTACCCTTGTCTTTCACTAGAATAATTATCAATTTTATGATAAATACCTTCCTATCAACTCCAATTTTCGTTTTACTGACCCAATGAATAAATTCTTCTTTTTACCGGCTTTTTTTCTTCGAAATAAGTCGAAAAACCGTCAAACATCCCGGGGACTGACTAGAATTTGTACGCATGTGCGCAATAATGATGCGCGGGGACTCAGCAACATTATGATTATTATTATGTCATAAGTTTTCCCTTTTCAAACGGTGTGACAGTTAGAAAAACCTGAGAATAAATAACATTTTCTGATTTAATATTTCTCCTTCCCCATACATTCTACATCAACTACAATAAAACCATTCTCTCCTCACGTATAATAATAATAAAGAAATGTGTCGACAGATTGATAAACAGTGATACCAAATCCAAGCCCAAAAGCAAGGAATCTGGCAGGTTGAGGAATAACAATAACTGCATAAACAATGGAGTGTACAATCCGAGAAATAGCAAAGGTTTTGATCAAGAGAGCTGCTAGCCATGTGCTTGGAGAAGTCGTGAGCCAGAGAGCTGTTGATACCGCCCAAGGGAAAATATTCTCCAAATCATTGAGATGAGCCCTGCGAGCCCTTTCAACATCCGGATCATTCTCGCCTATCTTCGAGCCTTTAAGAAATATGGTGTCTTCTGGAGATATAAAGATCTAAAAACGGAGAATCCATTGAAAAGCCATGATGATATTCAAACAAAAGCAATTGACACTCACCCTTTTTCCCCAACGCCATCTCCCTATCACCACGACCATCCCCAGGACCTTCAGCACCAGTATTGACGACCAATACGCAAAAATACGGAAATTTTCGTCGTTGATACTCATATTTCTTGATTTAACAACAGCAGTACATCCAAATCTCACAGCAGACAGGACACTCCTTACGATCGACACAGATGACAAGCTGAATTCCACTAAATTGTAGGGAACCCATCGACGATGATACGTGGAATGTAAAGTTGTCTTCAATAAAAAGTGGCCATTCAGGATTCACCTGATGATGCAATATCCCATCAAGGCCAACGACTCGTAATTTTCTTCTACAAACAAGTATATTATTCAATCATTTCTACACTACCAACAGTTATTAATCGCCTGGTGCAAACAAAACCAATGGCCTTTCCCGTGGGAATTATTATTTGATAAAAAATTAATGGCTGAGTGAATTATGACTCTTTTGAATGAAAAGTGTGATTAATAAAAATTGGTTTGAAATGGAATTGATTGGTGATAAAGAAGCCGTGAAGGAGCAGCGCCATCTGCCTCTCTCAACCTAAAATGTGATGGATGCATAAGGAATCGTGCAGCTGCAGCGATAGTCGCAGCTGATCCGTCGAGCTGGAAAGGTTAAAGTACGACTCATCCTTTTGGACCTCTTTTTTTTCTCCAAGCTCTCTCATGGAGACGAGAGTGATAAAACAAAATAAAACCAAAACCGTTAATTCAACGGGCTCGTAAGATTCTAACCCCCAACGGCCTGAAGATTTTTATTTACAAGACGAGAATAATTTGTTTTAATTTCTTGTGCTCGTGAAAAAGTTTTTAAAAATTGTGCAAATACAAACAGTGAAAGGTGATACAAGCTGGTGGCATCTCGGCGACGTCTTGGAACGACAGGTGAGCATTTTCTTCTGTAATGCATGTAAACTTTCTGAGAGACTAGTTTTGTTATTATTTTTATTTTAACGTAAATTCGTTTGGTGTTATTGCGATAGTTATTGGGAGCAATGTCAATGTTTACACACGTGTGTTAGGAACAATCGATGACGATATCTAGCAGATAATATTGCCAGAGGTGACTGACACCTGATGCGTCAATGACCACGCGTGTCACTCTTGTAGTACTTGACCTTGGTTAATCTTTCTCGAGTGCAGTGCCTCGTTAATTCACATTTCAAGTCTTACGTCAAGTCTTTTCTCAAACGAGCAACTTTCGTTGAAAATTCCGCTTGTATTATTCAGCACTAAAATATCTTAACTTTCTCTAAGGGTAATAATCTTCAAATATTACCATTTTATCTCCGACTAATACTATACAGACATTCCTCTTCTATTTTCTTATATAAGATCGAAGCAATAATGAGAGTATGACTACTTGATGAATTTGTTATTAAAAAAATGACAGAATTGATGTTGATCGACATGATAGATGTCCAGTGTGACTACACATCTAGTCATATTTTTTTATTCTTCCTGGAAATGGAAAAAGTATGATATAACCTGGGGATAAATTCGCAGAGTTGAATTTTCATGTGGGGAAAGAATATCTTATGTGCTCGTATTTATAGGTATATGGGTATATTTCATGCTGAGTTCACTTACTATTCGCCCGGGAGCAACATCTTATTCAGTATCGAACTGAGTAAGTTACTCTTAAAAACGATAAGAAGATAGATCGGTTTGGCTCGATATTTTTTACACATCAATAAATTGAAATAGTAGATGAAAAAAAATTCTGAGAATATAGTGATGCTGCTGTTGGGGCGTAGCTTAACTGTTCATTCAGTCTATAATTATTCTGTGATCACTAAAATCTTCATCGAAGTGTATGTGAATGGTATCAATCATTGAGTGATCTCTCCTCATACTCACACTCCCCTGGACTTCCTGGATAGTTCCTTGATTAAGGATGAGATATCATTAGCAGAATACATGTAAAACGTTTTATCGGAGTATTCTGCCATAAGTTATTCAGTGGAGCATACGAAGCCAGTATCCTCAACTGGTAATTAGCCCCGTTATCGTTTTACACAAGTTACAAAAGACAATTGTGTCGTTCGTGCGTTCTAATTTCGAAATAATTTTTTCGCTCTACTTGTTCATGTGGAATAATGCAGAATTAGCAGTGCGCTTCTGGATGTAAAAACCTAATATTACAAATATTTAACGCATCATTGCAGAAAAAAAAATCAATGCTGATGAAGGAACTGGAGAGATATCTAATATCTAAGTAGGAGTTGATGATGTCTTCGTCTCTCTTCGTCTTTTAGGTGGTTATCAAATAAATGTCATGAGTTTTCGATGTGAGAGGTAAAACAATACTAGGGATTGTTGTAGCTAGTCAGTGACGTCAGGATGTTGAGCCATGAGGTAGGATTGTAGGAGGATTGAGGCAGGAGAACGCCTGGGCCACCCCTTTACCCTCGGAGCGAGAGGAGTGACCTCGTTATCGTGTCCGTTTGCCAACCGACTCTCGTCCACGTCTGAGATCGATTGCCTGACGATATCGTTCCACCCTCTCCACCACCCGCTTCATCCCCTTTGTCAACCTCACGTCCTCAGGAAACTGGTGTGTATCGAATTGGCTATAGGGGTTAAAGGCGAACACTTCAAACAGATCCCCTTGAGAAACTCGACTCTTATTTTTTCTTTTCATCATCAACTCGAGCGAAGAAAATGGTACGGTACGACTCAACGTCCAGAAACAAGTTATTACTACCCTTTGACAAAATACTCAACAACACAGGCAGTCTGGGCTGCTACAATTTGTGAAATTGATGGTTTCATAATTTTTAAGGCGCTATCATTCTCCAAGGAAGTGGAATGCGATGCTTTTATCAGTGCATTCAACAATGGAATGTGCAAATCCATTTGAGTCAAAGATTCAAGGTATTTGCGGTCCACCCTGAATATTTCATCATCTCCTACCTCTTTCTACACCCACTTCACCCGCTTCATTCTCAATCCACTACCAATTAACCTCGTTATCACGTTTCACGTGTCCACCGAGCATTCGGCTACCAAAACCGTAATCCAATGCTCGTTACGTGTTCCCGTAATCTAATGGAAGGATTTAGAAGGGGACAGGGGCCTTCGCCAAACTAATTGAATACCCATTGGGTTCTCGTTCGTACTGCCGAATATCCCCATTTCAAAATGGCTGGTCGGATGCGGACAACGGATGGAAAAGAAAGTAAAAAAATCTAACAAGACTTGAATAGAAAAAACATCCTAAAAAACTATATTCAACGAAGAAATTTTTCCAACGGCGAACAATTCGCTTTCAACCGGTGGAATGGCAATTTAAAATGGGATGCGTTCCGAGAGAAGATGGAATTTTACACTTTTGCAAAAGGCAATTTATTCTCTGGTGTTCGTGGTTAAGGGTTGCTCATGGTTTTCAACATATTGTTGGAAATATACGGCAAGAATATCAGTGAACAGTGTCGTTCACCATTTGACTGCCCCTGTACTACAATTTCACGGGATGGAGTCTAGCAAACCACCTCGTTCGTACAAAGTCGTCGAGGAACAATTTCGGTGCGGTCGACTTGCTTCTCCTTCTGGAAAGTGCTTCGGCTAACGAGTACACCAGATGGTGAAGCGAAAGGAGAACCTGGAGGAGAAATGTCCTCCACCATTTTCAAAAGTAAGACCACAAGGGGCCTGACCTGTCGTCGAGTGCCAGAGTGAGACGGGCTACTCAAGATTTACTTCCGGTCACCTCCAACGTTTCCTCCATCACTCTTGTTACATAGCCCTCTCCTAGAGTGTTATTGAAGTGACAGGGATTGATACACATTTTCAACTGTCCCATTTCCTTGACCATCGCTGTGCCTTGGATGGCAAAAAAAAATCTCAGTGCCTGGATCTCTTTCACCACCAGCATGGAAATTATTTCATTTTCATTGGCTGTGTGATCGATACAGATTCAATAAACTCGAGGTCATGTCAGTCGGCATCAGATTTCCACTTTCCTGGTTCGCTTGCTCTAGACACACATCTTTCTCTGACACATGCCACCCGCATTAAACCTGTTTGTGTATCATTTCTCTCTCTGGAATTCAATTTCATTTTCAAATATCAAGGTAGTGTGATTGCTAATTATACTCTATGTAATATCCCTCTTTTATCCAAAGCTCCATCGATTAATCCAGTGGCTGGTCTTTTTGTCTATCTCTACGAGAGTAATTTGCTCAATCTTTTACAACCGCATTATACATCAGATGAGAAGAGATTAAGGGAAGAACCCAGGGGTATACTAAAGTCGACGATCAAGTTCTTTTTTATCTAATGTTTCATTAGACATTCTAGAACGCCTCATGAATACCCATCATCATGAGCCTTTAAACTAGTGAATGGCCGTGACGTTAATTGAAATCCAATTAGGATCACTCCTCGTTGAGCACAGAGTGTGAACTTGTCCCAAAGTTTGACTCCCACCGTTTGGACATGACAAAAGCTTTTAGCACTAGATTATGCCCCTACCTCATCGTCCATTCGAGCGAATAGAATTTTCATTATTCGTGAATTATTTTATACGTCCTAAAGCAAAAACAAAATATTTGCCACAATCGTCATCCTCGATCGATCGATCGGTGCTATGGCGTTATTTTTACGATGACAACAGATAGCAATCTGGAAATTGCATTAAAACCACCATGGGCGTTCCTGAAATCCCAGTAGACTATGATTCGGTACGAGCATACACTTGCAACGAGGATTATGTTACGGCTGGTTGAATTCTCCGGTGCGAAACCCGGGAAAACGGAAGCTCCCCAGTAACAGTTGTAATATATGTCCGTACTCGATCTGCAGACCAACTGCCAAAGTGTCAAAACGCGTTGAACGTTTCAGTATCGCTCCAACGGGAATTTATACGACTAGAAGGTGCGGAGAGTGGGGCATTAATTTTACGGAGGATGAGATTGCCACCGTTGATGACAACGGCTGATGAATCACGTGATGATAAATCGCTTTTGGTTGCGCTTCCTCGAAATATGCTGAATTACTAGAAGGATTAAGACGAGATATTTAAGACGAAACAACACATTCATCACTAAAATTTCCCATGAATTTTGTTGAAATTCTCTTGGAAATAATACGAGCCAAAATATTTTTATTTATGGGAATTCTGAAAAGTATAGGCTATGATGTTTATTGTAGGAGACACAATATTTAACGATTATTTACTTATTTGATCCGATCTTCCATTTATTGTTAACAATTAAACTTTGGTTAAAGACTCGATATAATATAAGCCGGGTTGGTTGTGGTAAATTTAATGTTGCTTGCTCGAGAGTTCGTCTCCAAGTGTCCTCGGTCATCAAATCGTCCAGGGTGTCAGGTCTACCCATTATACAAGGCTCTTTGTCTGGGGTGGTCCACGTGTTGGGCTCTTTTGTAATAAACAGCCTAAATGTTTCCATTATTCCCTCTGATCAGTCACAACAGGTCTCTTGTTCGTTTTAACGTCGAAAATATTTCCAGCATTATTTCTCTTTTGGCATAAACAAACTGGAATAAATAAGATCTTAGATGACGACGTGACTTGAGGTCGAGGGTGCTGTATCCCTTTATCACAGAAGTTACTTCCTGTTAGGAATTAGTGACGCTACGATGTGTCTCCCGAGCGATTGAATAATGAAGTTTCTTCTCCGTGGTGGTTACATTTTATATTTGGTGGTTACGTTCTTCTAAATAATTCCCTTTCTATTTTTTTTTCTATTTTCAATAGCATCATTATGCTGACGAAACTGTGAGAATCTTTGGCTGAACGCCAGAGACATGCGTGTTTGAGTTGTAATTTGTACCTTAGAAATAGGTGTCTAAATGTCGAGAGGGATATGGCACAAACCCAGTCGGTTACCGACAAGCTGTTATTAGTTTCCACCTCG